TTGCTTAGGGTCTCTCTAAATTGCTGAAGCTGACTTTGAACTTGTGATTCTCCCTCAGCCTCCCAAGCCCATGAGATTATAAGCATGCACCACTGTGCCCAGCTAAATCAAAACATTTTTAAAAGGTTATTTTATTTATTATTTTTTTAATTAATTTTATTTTTTTTTAATTTTGAAACTCTCACAAATTTGCAGAACGATTGTATATGTTATACAAGGAATTGTCTGAGACATTTTGAATATATCCATGGAAACACAATAAAACCACAAAAATCAGGAAAATTTACTATTCACTTTGGTTCACCACTACCATTTAATTCCAATCCCCATTCAAATTTTACCAAGAATTTCTAGAAAAATCTTTATTAAAAAAACTCACAAAAAACAATAAAATGATTCAGTTCAATATCAAGCACTGTAGTTTTATTTATTGTTTCTCTGGTCTTTTCTTAAAAAAATATTTTAAAAATATTTTAATAAAAATATTTTGTATAGTTGTAGATGGACAACATGCCTTTATGTATTTTTATGTTTTGCTGAGGATAGAACCCTGTGCCTCACACATGTTAGACAAGTGCTCTGCCACTGAGCTACAGCCCCAGCCCAGTATCTCTGGTCTTAATCAGTTTGGAAGAGTTTCTCAACATCTTTCACTTTATTTTTAATATCTTAAAAATATTTTGGGCCAGTTTATCATTTTTTGTGTATTTGCTCTTTTTTTAGAATGTTTATCAATTTGAGATTTTCTGATGTTTCATCACCATTATATCAGGTTATTTACTTTTGACAGGAATGTTACAGACACTGTTGTTCTCAGTTAAATCTATTAAGTGGTGCATAGTTTTAATTTGTTCTATTACTAAAAATAATGGTACTTAATTATCCATTATCTACCTCACTTTTCCATTTTAAATGGTCTCTTTCCTACATTTAAAGCAATATGAATTTTATGGAAAAATATTTTAAAACTATGAAATTTCTTCCCTCTTCAAGCTGATATGCTTTTTATTTGATTAAACAATTTGTAATCCAATGTTATCATTTTGTTTTTGCATTTCAGGATATGCAGTTGGTTGCTAATCAAAACAAACAATAATAGCCCCTTGAAACTGACATTTGTATCCTTTTAGAATGTCTCTATCTTTCTTTAAGCTCTTCTTGGATTTCAGGCTCCACAGAGGGTTCCAGGTTCATTTTGTGCTTCCCTGCATCAGCAATGGAATTATTCATATCTATCTATAAAGAACCTTAGTTCTTCTTATAGCAGGATTTATTCAGAAGCCAAATATAGATTCTAGAGGTGCACATTCCTATTGCCATGTTGCTACTTCCAGGACCTATCAGTAGACAGAACTAAGAAACACACACACACACACACACACACACACACACACATTTATTCATTATATGTAATTTCATATACATTCTATTTTCATGCAAGAAA